GCACAAGGCAAGCACCAAGCCTCCGCAGTGATAGGGCACTGCTCCCTCTCCCCCCTTAAGAGGCTAAGAAACAACTGTGGCTCAAACTCTGAATGCTGACTGACCAGAATGACCTCAAGGGACTGACTCTCCCAAGTATGCAGAGGCAAAAATCACCAAGTTTAACACAAAGAGCTTGGTACAAGGTGCTTGCTAGTAGCCTTGCACTTTCCTGAAGAAAAGCATTTAAGGTTCTGAAGCCTGGATTTATTTTTAAACAGAACTGTACAGGATAAGAGGTGTTTCTGGTTTTAACACTTCACCACCAGCACTGAGACTAGGAAAAGTGAACTCCCTCTCTGAGCCTATTTCTCTACTTGCAAAACCAGGCAAATGGTTGAATTTGGTCAGGCAGTCCACAAAAAAGAAATGTGAACGGCAGTTTTCAGGGCACCAATTTGGCGCTTGAACTGGTGGTCAGGGAAGCGCTCAAATCCTGGGCAATGCTCCTCGCGCTCCAGCGCACCCGGGAGACAGAGGTTCTCTCGCTGCAGTTGGTAAGCGCCTCCGGGAAAGCAGTTTCACACTTGATGGTCCCTTCTGCGAGTAGAACGGTGCCCGATTTCCAGAAGATGAAACTGACGCCCAGGCCGATTATTTAAGCCCCAGGATCGCTCCGTGTTCAGGGGCGCAGGAGCGACTCCCACCGGGAAGGTCACGTCCCGCAGGCGCCACCCGCAGCTTACCAGCCCCAGGAAGGCAGCGTACACAACCCCGGTAGAGAACCAGCGCAGCGTGCTCTCAGCCCGGGCGCCCTGCGGGGGACCCGCCGCTGCCTGGGGCTCCTTCTCCGCCGAGGCGGTGGCCGGGAGGAGTCGCTGCGCAGCAGCAGCCCCGCGGAAGTCCAGTTCCAGCTCCAGGTTGGCGGCTCCAAGATGCTCTTGCTGCCGCACTTTTTACAGCCAGGCTGCAAGTTCTCAGGGCCCTCCAGTCCCCAGAGGCGCCACCGCCCAGGACACAGCCCCAGGCGCCGGCCACTTCGGATCAAGTGCTGCGCGCACCGAACAGGAGCCTTGCAGACCACACAGCGCCTGCGCTTTTCACGTGGCGGAAGTGAGGCCTCCTACCAACTTCTCCGGGCTCCAAACCGGAAGTTGGCCGGTTGCTAGGAGACAAAGCACCTGCTCAAACTTCGCTTACTTAGTTATGCTAGTAACTGGAAAAGCTGGAGCTGCAGCTTTGTATCAGACGAATTAAGGAACAAAATATGGTCAAACCTTTATGCGGAAATGCAGGCCAAGAACTGCAAGTTGGAACCTTGTGCCCTGGCAAGCAGAGGAAGCTGGCAGATGGTGCGGTTAGAAAATCCCCCAATTTGCTGTCTTCACTACTCTGTTACCTGATGTCTTCACCTTACACTCCACAAGTATCAGTTCACCTCACTGATAAGATTTAACTTGTTTAAATGTTTTTTCATCATATTCTGTAGGGACGTAAAGTTCAACATATCAATACTTGATGAAAAATACCTGTTCCATGTTATGCCTAAGATGTTTGATATTCAGACAGACAGTGAGGTCAAGCTTAACAGCCTAGGTTGTATGGTAATAACAATAAACTCTTCTGGAGGGTTAACAACCTAAGTTTACAGACCAAAATTAGAGAAAAAGGAGGGCCTCAAGGAAAGCCAACATTTTGGCCCTAGCCTTCCAAGGTCAATTAAGGCTCAGGACATATGAAAACTTGTACTGTAACGTCACGTAACTCGGTAGTGTCCCAAATTTTCTGATCAAGGAGATTATGGGGCCAAAGAGGAAAGTAATCTATGATGTAGAGTGTGCCTAAGGAGAGTCACATGGAGAGAAAACATTCTTTCAGGCTTTCACAGAGAACACATTGGCCAAGCAATGGCCGTGACTCATCCACATGGCTGACACTGACAAAGGACCTACAATCTGAGGTACAGGATCTCAGGATAAATCCTGGGGGGATTTCACTGACCTTATCAGACCCAAAAGCTATGATGCTTGTTGCATAGGTCTTGCTTTATCTTGGTCTTAACCATCCAGCAGAAAAGTATAAAAACGAAGCATAAGAAGCAAACCCATGCTGTTATGTTGAGCTGTAGGGGACTCAGGTCAACAATTTCTGACATTGCCAGTCAAGCAGAAGACCCAATACTATTATGGACTACTAGACTCTTTTAGAATATTTTGCTGAGTTAACACACCTATAATATTCAAATAATTATTCTCTCAGGCTTTCACAGAGAGCACATTGACCAAGCAATGGCCGTGACTCATCCACATGGCTGACACTGACAAAGGTTCTACAATCT